TACATGAACTTCAGTTTATGACTTTTATGACTTTTTGTAGAAGTACCAGATGACTAAAAATATAAGATAGAATTTACTGTATTTATTTTCAACATATTTAAATGGTATGAATAAATTTTAACAGTATGTAATATGAAATAATATATATATAAATATATGTAATTCTTTAATGAGGGTCAGGTGGGAAGTACTGTAGCCCACATGTTGTAAAGGAACAAGTACAGGTTAATTTCATACTGAAAAGTAGAAGGGAAACAACATTCTGGGTGAAAGTCTTTTCCACAGAGTGTTAGCTTTTGAGTATTTGTCTGCAGTGTCTATTATTCTTTCTACCTCCTTATGATATTGATATACTATATTTAAAACTCCATTCCTTACCTTTTTATTGCATTTGAATCCTGAACTGTTGTTAAAAAACTGATGTTGAACTACAAATCAACTTTTAGTTCAGAAAGAGTTTTTATGATAATTGGAGGCTTCAGACCCTTCCATGGGACAAACTCTTTGGTAAACGTAGATCAGAGTGCAAAACCCCAAATCATATTTGTGTAACTGATGCTGAATCCTCACTGAGATATTAGGTACAGATGAGTGGCTAACATCACAGCCTGGTGGAAAAATTATATGGAATAATCCCGTGAACCATGAAATAGGTATTACCTCAGGAATGTTCAAATTGATACAAATTACAGCTCAAGAGGTTTTTAAGAGATCATATACTGTATAAGCAAATATTGTGGGCATAAAAACGAGCACACTATGATACTAAATACTGTATGTATGGTACTATAATGTACTTTAATAGTCTTACAATAACTGATCTAAAGAGCTCTTCAGTGAACCAACGAAATCAACAGGACCTGACTTGTGACAAGTGTAAAACTAAAGAGCACGGTCTTAACAGATGTGAAGACATAAGCCTTTGGTTTTTTTTATATCAGCTAACAAAGAGGTTGATGCTTAACAGATAGGTCATAAATCCCAGATGACTGAGAACAAAGCTTAAGTGCTTTGATCAGAAAAATGACTATTTTATTGAGAAATCTCTAAAAATAATGACATATTAATATCATAAATATTTTTTAAATATACACTCAAATTCCACTACAAATCACTGGACACGTTTGGAACTAAATAGTTTTAGCAGGGTTTAAGGTGCATTTTATGCCTCCATTATATCAACTATTATTTATGCTTCAAATAAAATATAATTTTAAGCATTTCAATTGATTACTAGTCAAATTATTGCCAAGCATCCAAAATATGCTTTTGGTTGCCAAATGTTTTGTCCAAGGTTGTGGGTCATATAAAAAATGTAATTATCAGACAGTATCACATAATTGAATACTAGAGTCGTGTAGACCATTTTAGAGATCTATTTATAGCATTCAAGCATTCTCTTTTCTTTTGTAAGCTGTAATTCACTTTTACTTTGTAAGCAGTAGTTTAAAAATCTAAGGTGGTAATGAAAGACAATCAAAACATCTTTGAAAGTTTTTTTCACTTGGTGTTGAGTCTAAACCATAGATGCCAGACTTTGAATACTTAAAAATGCAAACAAGGACTAGACATTATCATTACAATCCGAAGGCAAACAGAACAAAACATGATTCATTGTCATATTTTCAGTGGTGTAATTGTAGTGTGCACATCATTTAATGATGCTTCCATTTTTCATAAGAAAACTCATGTATACAGTACATGTGGCCAAACAATATTTCAATACAAATGTACTGTATACAGAACTGCAATTTGTTTCTTTCCCCTTTTGAAAAGCCAGTCTAAGTATGAGACCTATTAAGAAGTATCTATGCTGTACACTGTATTCTGGTGTAATTAATGTAATTAACTTATGAAACGATTTAGTTTGGAACATAATATTAGATAACATTATCACTACCAGTTTCAAAAGACTTGCATTGTAGGGAGATTACTTGTTCTGTATAAATGTGGTTGTAAAAGCTGGTCAAAAGACATTTTTGCACACCAGATCTTTATAGAAAAAGTTTAATCAATCCATGGGCACTTAAAAAAGGCAAATGCTATGAAACATACAAAGATAGAAGTAAAGACACATTTCAACTGGCTTATATCAGTGTGCACTTTAAATCAGTGTGTACTTTTTCAAACTGGCAGAATATGAATGAAGTTCATACCTTGTACATACAGTACACTTTGACAGTTCCATGCTTACACAATATATATACACAGTGCTTACACAGGGATAATTTAAAGAATAATCTCAAGCAGGTGAGTTTGAGATTTTAAGAATAAAATCAATAAAGATTATGTCCAGCAAAATACCAACCTACTGTGCGACACAGCTGTGATTACCTGCTTTTCTTTCATGTTTGTACTGGATGGGCAGTGTGATCTATGGCATCAGTTTCCCTATAAAGAAAAATACTGCCCTCTTTAGAAGATTTTCTGTTGCATCAGACACAATTTAAGAGTTCCTTCACAGACCACTAGCTATAACCTGCAGTTACAACACATACCAAACAAAAATAGTCTAAGCTACAAATGAACTATCAGAAAATACAAATAATACGACACATCTTACATCTTTATTGAATGTAATTGAACACTTTAGAAGACCCCATGAACTCAACACGTATTTTGATGTTGAATTCTTTAATATTAGAATATATTATATGATGTCAAGGATTCATCCTTTCTTTTGAAAACTCCTCTTTTACCCCCGAAACCAAGTGTAGAATCAGAAATTCTGTAAAGATGCATTACTTCATTTGTAAGAATGGGATCATAGAAAAATGTATAACTCTCCTACATATTACATGCCTAAACGTACTGAGGCTTCAGAAATGTGTAAATATCTCACAGTTTACAAACTGTCTTTTCTTGTATTGTCACAATGACACCTGAAGCCCTAACATGTGACTGAAAAATAATGTTGATGTGATACCCTTAGTCATATTAGCCATAAATGAAGAAAAATATACAGCATAATATAAGACTAAGATGAGGACTAATCTAGGATAAATTGTAGTACAAATACTGTATATACTGAGAGCCATTAAAAAACAACAAGTTTTTGTTGTTTAGCTATTGTTTCTAATATTTATATTTCATTTTCAGTGCTTCTTTGTATACATTAGTAAAATTGATACTTATTCTTTGAAAGCAGTTTTCAGTTTTTATGCTTATTTAGTATTGACAAAAAACAATACACTCCTGCCAATGTGGCAGTGAAATATCAAACTATATGTAATCTTTACCTTTATGGCAAATAACCTATTCATTACCTGTTGGTTTCTGAATTCCTGCCTTCTCTAAACCTAGAGGTTTCTATAGTAAGTCAAGACATGTCTGTAAAAGCCTTTAGCCATGTGTCTTTTAATCTGTAAAGGTGCAGTTGGTGACAAATGCGGCTAATTCTTCCTGATGTACATATTAAAAGGCTAAAAGGTGTGTTCATACTACTTGGAGCATGCATATAACATTAACCTTCCATTTCCTTAAACAAAATAGTACAACCTCGTGGTTTTTCAGAGTGATATAAAACATTCCCAGATTTTGTAATGTGCATTTTATTTTTTCTCTCTTCTTCCTCCTTTACTTACACAGATGTTAAAATGCACACAATTGGGAGTGTCGTGCAACTGGAGAGTGATTCATTCTTAGACATTAAATTATCATTGTCTGTCATACTCCAAGTACTATAAAAAAAACTTACTAGCAGTTTGGTAATAATTAGTTTTATCCCAACAATTACCTGGAATTCTAGACTATTCAAAAATATATCCCTGCTATGTTCATAGCTATTCAAATATTATCAATATAGAATTTGTGATAAAACCCTTTCTGTATTGTCCTGTATCTGTCTTACCCTAACCCATTCCCCCCAAAAAGTATGTTTACTACACATTTTCATTCTGCATGTGAAACAAGCATCTCTACATGTCACATAAATTAGGAACCTGTTTAAATTGAGCATTCATTTTTAATTCCCAGTACAACAATACAGTAACTTGCATTGAGTGGCTAAGTGTCATTTAGCTGACACCCACAGGTGACTCTTTCTAAACCAGAGCGACCTTGAGGCTTTTTCTATGAACTCTCTCTTCTACCTTCCGTCTATCATTGTACATTACACAACGCATTTGCGGTGACTGATTACAGTACTCTGTTGTTGCTTTAGGGACAGTACTTATAAAACGGAAATGTCGAGAAATAATTAACCTACAGATTGCGCAGTAACTGGAGCGGGTGTCAGAAAGACAGCTGTCATGCTGACATCAAAAATATTTTAATACTTGAGGTAATAAGAAGATTGTGACGAAATTGATTCCTTGATCAGTGGCTAAACAGTACAATTACTCGTGACACCGCAACAGTTTCTAAGTTCTTTTTTTTATAACACATGGTTCTCCCTTCTTATTTCTTGTGAGAAAACAAAACTCAGAATGAAAAACCCTTAGAATTTTTTAAGTAGTTTAATTTTTTAAGTAGTTTAACACCATTGAATAACACCGGCACGACGTGAGATTACAGCTTCCTTATCTTTGCATTATGGCAACAGAGGATGTTAATTGCATCATACACCGTACATTTTAAGACGTATCTAGTAACGAAAGAGAACTACATATATCGAGATCTGGGTTTTATGCCTTTTCCTTTTCTTGTAGACTATATTCGGAGTTATACCACATTCCTTTAAAATGAGTCAATTCCCCTACATGACAACATCCCCCTACTGAATTGTATGTGTTTTGCTTAAAGAGCTATTGTTCAATTCAAGCACAATGTCGCAAAAATGTAGTGTGTTTGTAAATACAATCCGAAGTTTCAAAGAGAGGTCGTTGATCTTATATTACAGTTTAGACTAGTGGAAAAAAACGCAACGGCCATTTTCCCATGTTTGTACACAAACCTTGTTATTATCACAAGGACACTCCTTTATCCTTTTTGTTATAACCACTCCCCTGCTTCAATCAAGCTGATGCAATTCCGCCTGTAGTTAAAAAGTAGGAGCAGATAGATTTAACAGCTTAGAGCAGTGTGGCGTTCAGCGTGTGCGCGTCTTAGCAAATAAAAGAATAATATTGTAAAATAAATTTAACTTAATTCTACTGTTTCAGGAACTGAAATTAGTGTTTATTTGTATATTGTATTTATTTTCTATTGCGAGTATTTAAGTACATAGCTGGATATATTAACACCTATCGGTCTTATTTTACACAAGCCCCGATTTAGGTGCAATTTTATTCGTCATTGAAGGGTTTTTAAAGTTAAAACGTCCTCTGATATTTTTTTCCAGTCGAAGGATTTTAACAAAAGGTTCAGCACATTGAGGTAAGTGGAATATTTTCCTGTAAATTTAAAAACTGCTGTTTTTTTTAATCTAGAATGAATAGATCTGTGGAGTTATAATTTGTTTTATATATTCGTCTGGTAAATTGAAATGGTCGTTCTTCATTCGTTTTAAACTGCATCTCGAGTCAGATTCGTGGGGGAAATAAATAATTAAAGACTAACACAGCTGCAGTCTTGTGACTAAATGATTTACATTTTGCCGGAGAAGGCGGGTGGGGGTGCCAGACAGAGATGTAGCATTTTGTGTTCTTTTTTTTTTGTACTCGTTTTTTTTATTCTTTTCAAATATATCTAACGAAACAAAGCAATCACACGAAAGTGGTTGTATGTTTAATGAATTAAAGCGTAGCCGAATGCCATTTGAGACAGCGCTGCGCAAGATATCTTGCCAGTAAGACCAACACGTGCCTTTGTTTCCATTCGGATACCCGGCTGAGAGGATCAGGATGAGATTAAAATACAGCGAAAGGCTGCAGATAGATTTCTCTTTGAAATACCTCACTGGTCTTAAGGGTTTTCACATACTTAAAAAGTCTGTTAAGATTATTATGCTATAGCTCAATTTATGTTATTTTAAAAACAAACTAAATTTTAAACTATTCTGTTCTTTCCTTTAAAAAATGTTTTCCCAAATCCTGAAACCTACACATTAAGGGATAAAAGTGTGGGTTTTTGTTTTTCCAGTTTTGAAATGTAAATTGTAGCTTGAGTAATCGCGGATGCCGGCTAGTACTTTTCCATTCCTGAATGAGTCAGCCACCCCCTCCCCCCCCCCCCTTTTTTTCAAACAATGTTCACATGACCTCGGATCTGTCAGAGGATGCTGCAGCTCTCGCGTTGCCCAGTATTGATTATTCATTGTTTCCTTAGGGACACGCAGCAAGGACAAAGACAGCGCCGTATCAAGGAGAGTGGAAGCTAGAAAGGAAGCTTAAAATACCAACAAAAAACGTTTTCCAACGGATTGAAAAATGAAACAAGGCGTGACTAAGACTGAGATGAGCCAGTTTAACATTTCCCCAGACGAGGACAGTAGCTGCAGTTCCAACAGCAATGAGTACGGTTATCCTGATTGTCCCGTTAAAAAGGTCCCAATAAGCAGGTGAGAATGACTTGTCACGTGTATTTGTTATGAAAGAGCCGAGCTGATTTATTTTTCAGCTATTTAATCAATTAGAACGGCATGTATGGCATCTGGCGTTGTGCCAACAGTTCTTTTAAAGGGTTTCTGGGTTGGATGTTTTATAATGGGTTAAAAAAAGATTTTGCACAAATGTTGCAATTTGGAAATGGGAGCAAATTAATAAGAAATGCAATCTTTTTCATTCGTTTTTTATTTTTTAGTCAATATCAAGATATGGACCCTGAGAGTCAAAATTTCCTCCCTGATCACCACCTGGGGAAGAAGAAATACGAAACTGAATATGTAAGTGCGTCTTATCTTTGCTGTGTCTTGTCTGTACTGAAGATTTATGTGCGTGCTAATAGGAAGTCATTGGTCGTTGCCATTTCGCCAAAATGTTCATCTGCTTTTTTTCTTTATTTCCCAACAGCATGCCGGCACCACGTCCTTTGGCATGTCAGTGTTCAACCTCGGCAATGCCATCATGGGGAGTGGCATCCTTGGCCTATCCTATGCCATGGCCAACACTGGAATTGCACTGTTTGTGTACGTATCCCGGTATCACTGTCACATTGGCTTGAAGTGAAGGTATCTGGCCCGGCAGGGTGATGTTTGGTAGCCTAATTGATGCCTGCTGGCAGTATCTATCTGCCTAGCTCGGGAAACATAAAGGAACTCAATTGTTCAGAGGGAAACCTTCAGGATTTGATATTTTATTAAAACAGCAGGAATGTTTTTTTTTGTGCTCGGAACATCTGCATGCACAGGACAAAAGATCCAGGCAGTCCTCTCTAACTATGGTGGGGACGGTGTGATTAGACTTAATTTCACTTGTAGTTCTTGTCCCACAAGAATTGTGAATGGATAAATCTGTCGTGCGAGCATGCCACTAGTTTCCCAATGGCTAGTGTTTACAAACAGAGTGTGCACCATCTGGATTCACGCAGTGCATTTGGGCTTCTGACAACTAAGTGGAATGAAGCTGCTTATCATTTTAATCCCCTGCAGTCAAGGCCAGAGCACTTTGTGTTATATAAAGTTTTAAGGAGATCGTCTGGTTTTGTGTGATCACCCATGTGTTTATGGATCTCTTTATCCTGCGAACACATTAAACGCATAATTTTTTAAGTTTTTTAAGCTAACAGTTTAATTGCCCCAATAGGTAGTGTTGTGTTTTAATTTAAAAAAAAAACTAAATGCAAGTAATGGCAACTTTGTCACTGAGCTTTGGAAATTCGCACAAATGCACATTCTCGATAAAACTGCTAGGCCAGGCACTACTGAAACTAGGTATGCGAGGTTACTATATATATAAATGCATGTGTAGCAAAAACAACAGCTGAGTCCTGTTTGTATACCAAATGTCTTAAAACCTGTGAATAAGTTCAGTATGTAATTGATAGAATGGCACATCAAATGTCGCCCATTATGTGGTAGATGTATGTGAGCACAGGTATAGCCCCTTGACAATACTGCTCTAGATCATTTTAGTACATGATCACAGCTCAGAACAAATGCAGATTAGTGATAATGACATCCAGGGCTATTTATGTGTTGGCTACGTAGGCTACTTCTGCATTCCGTGCTGTGCTTGTAATAGGATATTTAAGGTCACATGCAATTTGTCTCTGAGGGAATAATGAGTGAGACATTGATGTAGTTGAGGGTGGTATTACCATTAAGAGACGGAATCCCAGACCTACGTGTTTTTAGATGCATTGGGCTAATTGCAAGGTTTATAAAAGCATTGCCTTAGTTACATTTTTAGAAAAATCGGATAAATAATCAAAGAATGAAACAGTGAAAGAGATCAGGAAAGGAGAGACTTTATGAACTTGGACATGCAGAGACAGAAGCTTATGGAGATATAAGCTCTCGTTTCAGAGTCATTGTGTCATAAAGGACATAGGATATTCACTGAGGTCTTTGCCGTGTTTATTATAGTAAGATGATCACCAGGGACCTGTGCTGTAAAATGCCGAGCAAGAAAAATGTAGTTTGTCTGGGCTGAGACCTGGTCTTTTCAGTGTTAAGTTACAGTTCTTTAAAAAAGAACATGATGAAACCTAACATGATCTTTTGATATTTTAACTATGTAGGGCCCCAAGGTTTTTCAACAATCCTTATGAAATCTAGTTAAATTTCTGCTGCTTTAATTGGAGAAGGAGCTGTATTAATGACTCGTGTTCTTCCAAGTGAAAAAATAATAATCCTTAGGTTTATGTTCCCTTTGCAGGATACTTCTGGTTGCTGTGTCAATCTTCTCTCTTTATTCTGTGCACCTTCTTCTGAAAACTGCAAATGAAGGAGGTAGAGAAAAAAAACTTCATTACCTTGAAATAATTTGATTTTTGTGATTTTTAGTGTTTTGTGTAATTCTGGAAATGTTTTTATATTTTAGGATCATTAGTTTATGAACAGCTTGGATACAAGGCCTTTGGAATGCCTGGCAAATTGGCTGCTTCCTGCTCAATTACAATGCAGAACATCGGAGGTAAATGAAATTAACACTGATTTATTTTGATATCCTCATTAGAAGTGCCATTAGGCCTCCCTGGTAAACTGCAATTAAAATGAAAGAGAAACAGCCACAAGCTGCTGGTTAACATTTGCATGTTTAATTTATTTAATTTATTATTGCAGCAATGTCAAGCTACCTCTACATTGTGAAATACGAGCTGCCAATTGTGATCCAAGCATTTTTGGGAATAAAGGAGAACACTGGGTATGTTACAACTTAGTTCAATCAGTTCATTCATTCTGTATGCAAAAATTCTAGATGTATGTTTTAAAAACAAAATTATTAATATCGAAAGAATGACAGATGGAAATTAGCTCTATTTTTACTAGTGGAAGTATTTTTCTCACAGTGCCATGGAAACATATGTAAACTATAGGCTAATGACTAAAAATAGTGTTTCTTTAAGAAAGACAAATAAATATTCTGTAATAAAGAGCCTATTAATTTAGTATATCTCTATATTGAAGTGTCCTGTGTTTTTAGTGAACTATTACTAAGGAACAAAGGTTGGAGGTACATATACAGTATGAACTGATTTTTGACTGATTGTCTTGTTAGAATAATGTCTTAGTTACTTCAGAAAAAGAAAAAAGATTTTTAAATACCTTTGGCATTTAACCTTCCAATAATACATTTCAATAATTATAATTTTTTCCTTTTTCAGGGAGTGGTATATCAATGGAGACTACCTTGTGCTACTCGTATCCGTGGTGATTATACTGCCCTTGTCACTGACTAGAAACCTAGGTAAGTGAATGCCCAGGGAATCCTGGAATGACAGTAGCAACATGTCTTCTTTATCTTGTACACACTCTAGCCAGTACTGCACAGTTGACTTAGAACTGCTCATTTCCTGGTGCTAACTGAAGCACTAGTGTGCAAAGTGTAGATATATGCAAAGTGTTTGCTTATATCTGCTAGTGGACATACATTCTGTATCTCAATACTCAGCTATGAGAAACAGTGCTTTATTTGTTCTCTTTCACTTAATGGTGGTTACTGCTTTTATTTTTCAGGATATCTTGGTTACACCAGTGGATTTTCCCTGCTATGTATGGTCTTTTTTGTGATTGTTGTAAGTATATTTAAATATCATTAAAAATGACAGAGGATGTCTAAACATTAAACAATGAAGTTCTAGTTTAAGTGCACAATGGAGTATTCAAGTAGAAGACTCTTCTTGAAGCACTCATTGTTCTAAAATCCTCCCTTTATCATTTGGGCACGGTGATTTTAATGCTAAACTAGATCTTGAAAATCTCTTACCCTGAGATGTATTTTATTTCTTTTAATGTCCATTATAAATGCACGGATATTATTTTCTTTCAGATGTCTAAAAGGATTATTTATGTGTTTTCTTTAGGTAATTTACAAGAAGTTCCAAATCCCTTGCCCTCTACCACTGGAACACGATGCAGTAAACATGACTTTGAACCACACTTTGAGTCATTTATCAGAAGAAATCCACAGGAGAGCAGAGAATGCAACTGTTTATCAGGAAGATGCCTGCACACCAAAGTATTTTGTCTTCAACTCCCAGGTATGTGTTGTGTAATTCTCATACAGAGGAGACAAATAGTTTTTCTGGTAACCTGGATAATAACTCTTATCAATGTGATTGTAGCTCAATAGTTTAAAGATCCAAATTTCAATGGGAACTTCAGTAATCACAGTTTTTTAAATCAGCTGTACATGTATGGGTTTTGTTATTTTTTAGCATTTTGACTGTTTTCTTAAGGTGTCTTTTTTTCATTCTTTAGACTGTATATGCTGTGCCAATCCTGACTTTCGCCTTTGTGTGTCACCCTGCTATACTGCCAATCTATGAAGAGCTGAAAGAGTGAGTGAAGTCGTAAACTGTGAATACAAAACTTAGTAACACTTTGGGTTAGTGGTTAGAAATGATATTTCTGAATGTATTATAAATGAAATGTATGAATAGTGTGACATAAATGTGATAATAGCAAAGGCCTACTTTATATTAATCGAATCTACAATTAGGGCTAGTAGCCTAATCCTGACCATACACATAACAATGAGGTAGGGTAGTGTGAAAGGACAGGACAGAGGTTTGTGGTCATGTGGAACTTAACTTGAATGAAAACAGATATAATATAAGCATACAGTGAGACAAACAGTTTGGTTCTATGTAAGCACAGTTAGTGCTTTATTCACTTCAATTGAAAATAAATATGAAAAACATTTCATTTCTCTACAGCCGTTCTCGGAAGAGGATGCAGAATGTGTCCAATGTTTCCTTCTTCTCCATGTTTGTTATGTACCTACTGGCTGCTCTGTTTGGATACCTGACCTTCAGTGGTATGTTTTTTTTTTATGTTTCTCACAGTGGAGAATGCTAGGAGTTGGTAACTGAACTGCTTTAGAAAGAATATAAGAACATAATGGTAATTTACATAAGCTTTTAACTTAAGCAATAATAAGCTTTTGTTCATTCATGTCTTTGGGCAAGTTTTAATAACTATGATTATATCTCTGAAGTAATGTTTGGAAATGTTGGTTGTTTGTCACTATTTTCAATGGATAAACAGAGAATCCTGGCCCAGTTTCCTTAAGACTAGCAGTTTTATTTTTATGAGTGAAGGCATGAGAATTATGGAATTGTCACAAGGAATTTTCTCCCATTATGGAATGCATTGTTTCGCATTCACTGTTTTTGCAGCTCCACACAAGATTTTGTCCAGTGTAGTTTTTTTTGACAATGCAGAAGAATTATCACAGTGTGTGTGCAAAAATGATTTCAGTAACATTTGTAAAACATAATGTGTGGGATTTACTTGTCTTTCACAGATAATGTGGAACCTGAACTGCTTCACACCTACTCTAAGGTGTACAAGTTTGACGTAGTCCTGCTTGTTGTGCGTCTGGCAGTGCTGACAGCTGTGACTCTGACTGTACCCGTGGTTCTCTTTCCTGTAAGTGTGCCAGTATTTTTGCAAACAATTCTTTAGAAATTGATCTTTCTAGGGTGTGACCATTTCTAAAGAGTTTCAACAGTGGTAACTGTCATAACTGCATTGCTATTCTTCTTTTTATTGTCAGGAATTTTAATTTGGTCTTGTTGTTCTTTTGAATCTTCTGTTCAGATTCGCACTTCCGTCAACCAGCTCCTGTGTGCATCCAAGGAATTCAGCTGGATTCGTCACACCATTATAACTTTTCTTCTCCTGAGTGGGACTAATGCACTGGTGATTTTTGTGCCTACAATCAGGGACATCTTTGGGTTCATTGGTATGTTTTTGTTGGCTCTGTTCAGTTATGTTTTGTAGAGATGAACAAATGTTTGAGAGTAGCTGTAATATACAGTTATTTTGTCATCTTAAAGATTTGTTTCATGAATTTTTACAGGTGCCTCTGCTGCTGCGATGCTGATCTTTATTCTTCCTTCTGCATTTTACATCAAGCTGGTGAAGAAGGAGTCAATGAAGTCAGTTCAGAAGATTGGGGTATGTATGATGTTATCAGCAGCAAGTGAATTTTCATCAGGTTTAACTTATACAAGTGATTGTTGCTTTTCACCTAATATTATTCTATGCACAGCATTAATGAAGGGGGATATTTTTGTACCATCTTATATAGCTTTTATTAAGAGAAGTTGACTAATTAAAGTGTCTGATTTTGTATATGAAGCTGGGAATAACATAAGATCATATATGTATATAATGAAATTGACTCTATAAGCATTAGTAATAAAAACATTGTTTTGAATTATTTAAAATTAGTGGATAATCTATGTGGAACACATTTTCTGCTGAAGTATAGCATATCATTAGTTTAATTCTAAACTATGGTTTACAAGCCATCGAAGGTTTTTTCTTCTGAATATTATTTCAAGAATTTTCCAAACAGATTAGATAAAGTATCACCCAAAAAAAATCAGTATTAGATAAGTAGTAGACCCCAAACCACAATCATTTTTCTTTTGGGTATAACATTTTAACTCCTTGAGTGATTATGTAGTCATTTGTGTTAATTTGTTTTGTTTTTCTCTCTAGGCCACAATCTTCTTAATCAGCGGATTCTTTGTTATGCTTGGAAGTATGACATTGATCATCCTGGACTGGATTCACAATAGTGTAGGTCAGGCTGACGGCCATTAAATGCAGAGTGACACCTTGTCACCACAGAGGTGCAGCTCCTGCACACCGACTCCAAAAACATCTTGCTTAGCTGAGAAATGGATTTCTGCCAGAAAACAGATCTGATTGTAAAGACTGGATCACAAAAAGTATTTTTGCTCGACATCAACCAATGAGCAGTGATTTATATACCATTCCAAGAGAATGTATTGAACTTTGTACAGTACGCTATTAGGCCACATGGATGGCACTTAAAACTGTTCCTGTTACAAATGTTGTTTTTTAAAAGTTAATGGTACAGTACAGACTTTGATTGTGCCTCAACAGGGACATAGAAGTAATCTAGTACAACGCAGCTAAGACGTTCAAGTTCAGGTACTAAAAGTGACATTTGCATGTGTTCTATGTACCATGTGTCAACACTAATGCAGCTTTCACTTTGAAGCCTGGCCAATATGTACCATTTCTCACTTGGACTCTTGTAAGGGAGCTACTGGTCTTCAAAGGGGGATATGAAAGCATAAAACTACAGTAGTACTTAGGCTTTAATGAAAGTCTTCTCTTTTTTAATTTGCCAAAATAATTTGAATTAATGTGTTGCTGTGTGTATTTATAAACACTTAAACATTCACTGGAGTACTCTTAAACTCATCTCTATTACCTGATACGAACTGTAGGACATTTTAACAGTGTTCATTCCAAGGTCACTTGGAATATTTAAAACCTATGCTATAAACCCAAGTACTGAATGATGAAACTGTAAGATAGTTATTATGCTTAAAGGAACAGCTGTTACAACCATTCTGTAGTTCCTCTTAGGCATGTTCCATTTTGCATACAACTGCTGGTGATATGTGGACTACAGCTTTAAAACAGGAAGTATTAGCTGGTTTAACCTGTTTTGTGTAATAGGAGTTACAATAAATCAACATAAATATTTATGGTTTAAGGTGCCATCAAAGTACCTTAATTTATAACTCCAAAGCTACCTACCTTCTTGATTTGTAAAATGCTTTACATGCAACACTACGTATAAACTGTTTTAACGGAGCAAAGAATGCTACATGGCATGGCTTCCAGACTTACTGTACATAAACAGCACTAAAATGGAGATGGTTGTAAGATATAGCTGCTTGCCCCTAATATACAGTAGTCTGCAGCAGAGGTCTTCTGAGTGACCATTGATTTGTCTTTTTTACAACCTCATCAAAAAATGTGACGTTTTTTGACTGTTGGCAGCTTTGCTTTGAAAACAGGCTTTTATTGACTGTGTAATGTATGTGGCTTACTGGATTTGGGATCACCCCTAAATGAGTACCTTTTGTGTTTCTGTTACATCTGCTGTCACATTGTCACCTCACTGTAAGAGATGTCTCGCTGTGCTTCCAACGCACATTTCACAAATTGTGAACAATATTGTCCTGCGATATTTATGGAACAACATGAAATCAATGTAATTTAAACTATTTTACTATATTTATATTAATGTATATATGTACATATTGGTTGAACTGTATATAGGCCTTGTTTTTTTATCTTTTTGCAAGTTGTTAAATATTGTAGAGCTGTGGAAGGCTGGTAATTTCAATTTGCATTACCTGCCTGTTGAGTTCTCCCTCCAGTGGACCAGCTAGCTTTAATTTTCTTTAGCAGTAGTAAGATGTGTTCCTCAAACCACTACTATACTTGTAATTCTGCAAATCTAATATTTTAAGTAGAAAATACCAAAACTAAAATATAGGTAATTACTAAGAGTTTTTGATGTATTTTGTTTCACTGTGGTGCTGCCTATCTAGGCACTATACAGAGCACACACACAACAGTATTATTTCTGTGTCAAGTTTGTCAAATGGCTCTATACAAGGTCCATATAAACAATGAGCCTTTGAATTTTATGATACTGGTGAACGCTGTTTAAAACTGAAATTAAAATATAATCAACATTTTTTAGACCTAACTACATTCAATAGACTTACTGCAGGTGACCTATGTGAGTGAAGTCTTGATTTGTTAGTTCGCAATGGTTTGTGTACACTTTAGAATTACTGTATATGTTGGTCCTGCATACATGTTTTTGTGCTAAATCATGTATGCTAATTTCAGTACTGTTGGAGAGAGAGGTATCTGAAAGAGTTATCCAGGCAAAGAGAGAGCATTACTGTCAGTGCTACACTCTTGTTTCAATGAAACTTTATGTATATCCTGTAATTATAAAGAAATAAAATTATTGATAATCCCTAATATCGTCTCTGGAAATTGATTTATATGTGTTTGCACTTTGTGCCAATTCACAGGTCTTCATACTAAATTTAGGGATGCATATGAGGCTAATATGAAATAATATTTTATTATTAAACTGCCTTTCTGGTCAAATGTAGCTTTGCTGTTCATTATTGTTCATTTCAAATATGTATCAAATAATGGAGACCCATTCATGGCAAGCATTACCAAAATAGATACTCCAAAATGGCAGATAAATAAAGCAAAATGAAACCTACAATCCACAGATCTAAACATCCCATACATATTTTTTTCAAAGATGGACACTTCACATTCAATAAGCACTTACTTTTATAAGCCTTCATCTGCAGGAGCAACATATTGACATATTGTTATTTCTTTTGACATGTAAGGAATGCCATGTTATCAAAATACAGTTTCTGGCCTCTGCTTTGGTTTGTCTATTGCTAATTGAAAAACAGTGTCTCATAACTGGTGTCAGTGTCTCTAACTTTGTTTTGCTTTGTTATAGTACACAGGAAGATTTGTCTGCCTCTATACTGTAGCTCATTTTATTTCCAAATTACATTACGCAGAAGTATTTTTAGTAAAATCACAGGAGTTCCTAAACGTTTCATTGAAAAGTACAACCGAACACAATCATATTTTATTTTGGGGGAAGTAGTTTATATAGGGAAGTGAGCTAGTTTTGTAGCTTTCCAGATGTGACAATGCATTAATTACCGCATTACAGCTCACTTTCATCTGAGTAAGTGAAAATGTTTTTTGTATAGATAGTATTTTCCAAACACCATTACAGAGTTTTTTTTTGCAGAACAACATGTCTTGAGAAGGCAAGCTTTCTTTGTTGAATTACCACTGTGGCAAATAGAAAAGCACACAATCAAAATAAAGATAAAATGAATTATGAAGCTACAAGGTCTTGTCCTTTTGCGTTGGCTTTCTTTGGAATGTGCTGCTCTAGAAGAAGAAAAAAACATTAGATACATTGCTGTTCAGGAAGTTGCATACACACCATTCTGATTTCTCCAACTAGGCACTGTCCATTTATTCTTACTTCTGGAAATACTCTGATATTCTCCTTTGGAATAACAAGTTATATACTGTAGAGTGAGCAAATTCTGAAGCAGAGTCTAAAATATGAAACTTTAGACAAATCCAAAAGGAGCATGATTCTAAAATAATAAATATTTTTTTCAGCCATATTTTGAAGCTATTAAGCTATTGCTTAAATCAAAATAGAAAGTGTCGATACGATAAACTGCTTAATGGAAATAACTACTTTTAATAACAAACTCAAACCTTAAAGTGAAAATTTTAGTTAAGGAAGTAAAACACACATATTTCCTGCATACACTTAAGAGTGGAAATAACTCTTATATGGTAATGTACTAAACAATTAGATCAGTTTTGAAATATTATGATGTGTTTTACTTCTGTACTTTCAAAACCATATAATTTTAGCATTTTCTTGGGATTCAAGAGGACAAAAATTCAACATAGTAATACTTATCATATCTTTATAGTGATATTATTATATACTATACTGTATATCTAATACATTTATATCTTAAATTGAATGCAATACAAAATAGCATTAAATCAGACTGAGTATAATGTAAAATTAGTGTTTTCACTTTTATATAAGATGATTAGACCATACCAAGTTGATTCCATTTTAATAGTCACAGTAGTGCATGTACTGTGCATTAGTAAGACAAGTGAGAAAGTCAATCAAACAATTAATCTCTATCCATTTCAAGATTTTATACTCTTATTCAAGCTTCATTTTCTGAGACAGGGTTAGACAGACATCAGAGAGGTGTTTTTGGTCTTTGATCCAAGTACTCAGAATCCTCAAAGGCATTGACAATTTTAATCCACTGGATCTGAAAAAAAGTGAAACACAACCAGAGGACAAAAATGGAAATAACATGGAAGTGCATTTTAAGATGTTTGTTCACTTAGCTACTATCTACAATCCATTATCCTAACCCAACAAGTAATTCGTGCAAAACAGGATACCCCTGGATGGGACGTCAGTCCATCAGAGGGCAAACACAGACAAATACAGTCTGGACTGTGGGAAGAAACCATAGAACTCAGAGGAAACCCATGTGAACACGAGGAGAGCATATAAATTCCACACAGATACCACCCAAGAAATTGAACCACGGCCCCAGCATTGTGTCAACATGCTATCTGCTGCTGAATACCAAATGGGCTAAATGGCCAAATTTCCTCCTCTTGTTTTGTAATGGGGTGTATTATAGTTTCATTTGCAAAATTGGTGGACTATTAAATCAACTGAAATTAAAAAAACTGGAAAGTACAAATCTTGAATATGTGTTTTGCTCATTGCTTCAGGCAATAAATTAGATCCACTTCAACAGAAATTGACCTTGTTACATTTGGAAGCATGGTTATGTATAAACAAGCAGGATACAGTCGATTACATTGCTTTTTGCTTTTTGTGTATCTGTGCGTAAACGCCTCAGCATGGATGTATGTCTGAGCACCCTGGCTGTCTGGTTCCCTCTGTGGGGGAGGAAGAAATCACCATGGCAACAACAGCCATTTTATTTCTTACTATAGGCAGGTGCTTCCCTCCAGAAAATACATCTCAGCCAAACAGTAACAATGGATTATTAAAATGCTCAAAATGACAATGAAGGAAAATATCACCATGAAAAGGTTGGTGTGATTTGTACAGATTTTTTAAAACTTGATTTTTATACTTAGGTTTTTCTTACATAATTAATAAAATGAGAAGTACTTTAAAGACCCTTTAAATAATCCTATTATTTTTTATAGAAAAAAACAAATAATTTTGCAGAGCTGAAACACCAAAAGGAAAACCTAATTAACATATTTGTAACACCAATCAGATTTAAGGAAAGATGGTAATAATTCACAAATACAAAGTGCACATCATAACCATTCAATATTATTGACTCAAGACATAACTTAGATCTAAATAAGGAATGTGTTTTTTAAGTACGTACTGATATAACAAATTTTCTATCACAATATAAATGATAATATCTAACCTTATAACAGAAATTGAGCAAAATATATTGTAACAAAAATTGATTAAACTTCAGGAAGATAATGAATCACCATATAACAGCACATGGATATGTAGTGTGGTAATACCTTCAATGTGTCCCCTCTGGTTACTGATGTTAATGAAGATTGAAAAACCTTTTAGATTAAATTACTGTGAATTGCCAAGTGTGGCTCAATAGTAGTTAACAGGCAGTGAAAACTCCCTCCACAACCGTCAATGTGCAGCTCCTACCTGGATGATGTGACAGCAGCTAAAGGGCTCCAGTATCTTTAGCTATCAGTGAGGAGGAGAACAGAGTAATGAACCCAGTTGATAGACTATTATTATTAGGATTATTAGGAAACCGTGTTTGATAAAAACCAGTGGGGAAATATGGCCAGGATGCTGCGGTTGAGTTGAAAGTGTAACTGTTAATTAAAACATCCAGTTATTTTATCTTCTACAAACTTTGCACTGCACAAACATATTTTAACTATAATTGTGATTTAGTTCCAAATAACGAGTTCCTGAGTAGAAAAGGTAACATGAAAATATACAGAATTTATGTACAGTAAAAGAGTTAGTACAAAAAAAGGAAAGGAAAACACACTTTTCGTAATGAGACAGTCCAAGTCAAGTTGAACTCTTCTCCCAAAATCCCCATTAAGTAACAAGTTTAGGAAGAGCACGCTCTTATGGAATTGAGAGGTTGGGGCTTCCAAAACCATTAAATGATTTAGAGATCTACAATACATGTACGGGATATTCTCCAATAGGCAGAATCCAATAGGTAGCATAACTATTCAGCTATACTCTGATGGGTGTTACATATCCATCATCCATCCATCTTTCCCGAAGTCAGTTAGCATACCAGAATTTGGACTGTGTGAGAAATCTCATGTGAACACAGGGAGAACACAGCAACTCCATGCATATAGCACTCCAGAAATTGAACCCAACCCAAGGACTCACTGCTATAAGGCAGCAATACTAACCACTGCACCACCATACTCTACTTTGCAATTTTGTCATTTTTAATTGTTGATTACCTGTTGTTATTCTAGAATAACTGTACCGTCAAAATAGAATGCTTATTGCTGTACCAGACATTATTCAGTCCATACTAATTAATTATGGATTACAATTCACATTCCATGAAAGACTGCAATTAGTACATTAACTGTGTCACTTTTTTTTTACTTTGTTGTTTTTGATTACCATATCATTTTTGTAAAAACAATGGTTCAGTGGTTCTGCATTCTCTCGGTTGGCTTTACAGTGATTTCAAAACATCACATGTGCGCTTAGTGGAAGTAATAAAATAACTCTCTAAATGCACTTAAGGATTATTTATTGATCAGAAGAGCTATTTAAGGATCAGACATAAATGTGCATATAATGAAGATTTCCATGTAGTTGTAATGACTGAATAGCTGCAGCAAAACCCTTCCAGTAGTCTGCCTACCACAGGTGAAAGATGATTTCTTTGATGCTGGATTACTGAAAATAGGCTGTGGCTACCCTGTGACCCTGTATTGGATAAAGCTGTTAGAACATGGATGGATGGATTACTGAAAATACAATACATTTCAAAATTTCCTTCAGATATTGTACAGTATGATTGGTAGACATTAGAAAGGCTCATCTCACAGGCAAATTATCTTTTTTTGTCTTATGTAGTTAAAGAAGCCTTGTCAGGCCCAGGAAGAATTAGTTCATTTAACTTCAAGAGGACCTCCAGGCAATATTTTTACAATGGAGGGAGAGAGGGAAGCACTCATAAGAAAGAAGTTTAACCACTAATCTTAGATACTACAAATGGATCATCCTTTCTAGGTGCTAAAGTGAATAATCAGTTCCTTACGTCTGTCTTGTAATCCCTTTTTTAGGTCAATCACATGAGCTGTCTTGGGTTCACTGGATATCCAATAATAGAAAGCAGGCAAAGGAA